TTCATTATTACTATTATTTTATTACTAGTTTTATTCCATCTTATTATTGTTACTTTTTATCCCAACGCTCTGGCTGTATACACTCTTCATTATTACTATTATTTTTTTACTAGTTTTACGCCATTATTGTTACTTTTTATCCAAACGCTCTGGCTGTATACACTCTTCATTATTACTATTATTTTATTACTAGTTTTACGTCATTATTGTTACTTTTTATCCAAACGCTCTGGCTGTATACACTCTTCATTATTACTATTATTTTATTACTAGTTTTATTCCATTATTGTTACTTTTTATCCAAACGCTCTGGCTGTATACACTCTTCATTATTACTATTATTTTATTACTAGTTTTATTCCATTATTGTTACTTTTTATCCAAACGCTCTGGCTGTATACACTCTTCATTATTACTATTATTTTATTACTAGTTTTATTCCAGTATTGTTACTTTTTATCCCAACTCTCTGGCTGTATACACTCTTCATTATTACTATTATTTTATTACTAGTTTTATTCCATTATTGTTACTTTTTATCCAAACGCTCTGGCTGTATACACTCTTCATTATTACTATTATTTTATTACTAGTTTTATTCCATTATTGTTACTTTTTATCCAAACGCTCTGGCTGTATACACTCTTCATTATTACTATTATTTTATTACTAGTTTTATTCCAGTATTGTTTCTTTTTATCCCAACACTCTGGCTGTATACACTCTTCATTATTACTATTATTTTATTACTAGTTTTACGCCATTATTTTTACTTTTTATCCAAACGCTCTGGCTGTATACACTCTTCATTATTACTATTATTTTATTACTAGTTTTACGCCATTATTGTTACTTTTTATCCCAACGCTCTGGCTGTATACACTCTTCATTATTACTATTATTTTATTACTAGTTTTACGCCATTATTGTTACTTTTTATCCCAACACTCTGGCTGTATACACTCTTCATTATTACTATTATTTTATTACTAGTTTTACGCAATTATTGTTACTTTTTATCCCAACACTCTGGCTGTATACACTCTTCATTATTACTATTATTTTATTACTAGTTTTATTCCATTATTGTTACTTTTTATCCCAACGCTCTGGCTGTATACACTCTTCATTATTACTATTATTTTATTACTAATTTTATTCCATCTTATTATTGTTACTTTTTATCCCAACACTCTGGCTGTATACACTCTTCATTATTACTATTATTTTATTACTAGTTTTACGCCATTATTGTTACTTTTTATCCCGACGCTCTGGCTGTATACACTCTTCATTATTACTATTAATTTATTATTAGTTTTATTCCATTATTGTTGCTTTTTATCCCAACACTCTGGCTCTATACACTCTTCATTATTACTATTATTTTTCGCCAACAAGAAAAATGCCAAAGACATCCTCGAAATACAAAAAGGTCAAAGACACCATCGAAATTTTGACCACACGCATGCGTGTACATAGACTGTTTTTTTTTTACTCTTATTTTATTACTAGTTTTAGCACGTGAGTGAACGTAATGGAATCGACTGGAACTCGAACTCGGCTCTCTGATTTACTCAATCCGAGCCGCTATCTATTACTCCACCGTGGTAGAATTTGGTCTTATAATGACAACGAGTTTACAAGCTGAGGTTCGCATAAGCAAGTTGATTTGTTTAGCCAGAATGAATTAGACGACGTCCATGAATGACGGGATTCCCAAATCTAATCAGACAATGTCACTTTATTTATGATTCCGTAAAAAGTGTCATCACACACCAAATTTATTCATGGCCAGCATCTTAATCAATTCAAACATGGAAACCTCGATGATTAAGTAATTTTTTTGAAACCAACTCTCTTCTAATCATATTTGCTATTTTCACTTTGCATAAAAGCACTTTTCCTTTGGTTTTGAGTTGGTGGAGAATAAATCGACCCAAAATATTTTGTTAAAAAGCAACAATAATAAGATGGAATAAAACTAGTAATAAAATAATATTAATAATGAAGAGTGTATAGAGCCAGAGTGTTTGGATGAAAAGCAACAATGATAAGATGGAATAAAACTAGTAATAAAATAATATTAATAATGAAGAGTGTATAGAGCCAGAGTGTTTGGATGAAAAGCAACAATAATAAGATGGAATAAAACTAGTAATAAAATAATATTAATAATGAAGAGTGTATATAGCCAGAGTGTTGGGATAAAAAGCAACAATAATAAGATGCAATAAAACTAGCAGTAATATAATAGTAATAATGAAGAGTGTATATACCCAGAGGGTTGGGATAAAAAGCAACAATAATAAGATGGAATAAAACTAATAATAAAATAATATTAATAATGAAGAGTGTATATAGCCAGAGGGTTGGGATAAAAAGCAACAATAATAAGATGGAATAAAGCTAGTAATAAAATAATATTAATAATGAAGAGTGTATAGAGCCAGAGGGTTGGGATAAAAAGCAACAATTATATGAAATATAACTAATAATAAAATAATATTACCACCACTACTACTACTACTAATAATAATAATAATAATAATAATAATAATAAACAGTGTAATGAGCCAGTTAAAACATATTCAGACAGAACCCATTTGTATAACTTTACTTTCCCAGAAAGTAGATTGTCGCCATTTAGGAAAATAATAGTTTGGCCATAAGGTCACAAGTATGGCATTTAGGATCAGTCTCACTACTTGGTAATAATGGTCAAATCAGACTAGTTCATTTACCATTATACTTCGCCGATGGGGGAGGGGGCGCTTATTTTAATTTACTAAACTTAGCTCAGTGTTGACGCCAGATCAGCTCTAATGATAATTGCTGACCATTATGACCTCTACACGTCCGCATATAGTTGGTGTTTGATTCAATACTAGTAAGGGACTTTCCCATTATGACAAAATGTGTAAATACGTGAAAAACTGAACGACACCGTCACGTGCTTAAACCATTAAAATATAGAAATACGTGCTTACATTTTGACTCGAATCTCATACGGAACCGGATGTAAATTCTTTGCACACTTTTCTGGAGACATTTGCCCCCGAGAGATTAAAAAAAAAGACAAAAAAAAAAAACAGTCTCTGTACACGCATACGTGTGGTCAAAATTTCGATGGTGTCTTTGACCTTTTTGTATTTCGATGGTGTCTTTGGCCTTTTTCTTGTTGGCGACTCCTTGCAAGTGGTTTCCGTACTCAAATGGCTTTTTTCTTCATGATTCTTTTCGTAGCCTAGTGGATTAAAGAATATCTGGCTATTATCAGCTGTGAGTTTGGTAATGCTGAAAATTCAGTAGTAGAAAACGAACAAGTGTTTTCGTATCCCAGTGTCCTATTTTCCGACCTCTATTCAAACACTACCTAGATTTTTAAATGTTTGTACTTACTTGATTTTGGTATCTCCAACTGCGTTTCACAAAAGCAAAATCATTGTCGCGACAAGAGAATAACAGCCAGGCATGAAATAAATATAAATCTGGCCTAAAATTGATTGATTGTTTTTTTGTTTTGTTTTGTTTTGTTTTTTACAGTTTATCAACCTTTTGTCGGACATATGAAGCCGAAATATATTATTGGAGTAGAAAAATACTTTTTCCGTTTTTTTTTGCGATTAAATATTGTATTAACAATTCTTGGAGATAAAAATGGTTTTCAGATAAAGTTCTACTATTTAACCCATACCACAAGAATATTTGCGCGAAAGTGAATTTAACAAACCTAACTGGCTCTTCACAAGTTCTTGGACTTTGCAGCTCTTAATAAAGTTTGCTATCTCTCCAAATCCATTTTCTATCAATCATTTATACAAGATCTTTCTTCTTCTTCTTCTTCTTCTTCTTCTTCTTCTTCTTCTTCCTCTTCTGTGAGCCCTGTTTCTTCAGGACCATGGCTGTACAAAATATCTTCAATTAGGGCACATATTGAGGAAAGAGAGTTTGGAAAATTTAACAGTCACAGGATAAATTTAAGGCAAGAGAGACAGAGAAAAACAGCGAATAATCCACCTATCTTAAGTAAATGGTTGCCAGAATATTATTATAGTTATATACTTTGCATGATATTATATATATTATTATAGTTATATACTTTGCATGATACACGCGTAGGCGATTATGTATCTTTCGATACATGACTGACGTCGCAGATTTTTTTCCCGCAGTGGGTTGCCATTTCTTTCGGCGGTAGACTAGTTGCCATCCAAGGCTATAGAACCCGGCCTGTCCTAATATTTACTTATAGCTGAGAAGAGAAGAAGAGGATTCATACATTTCCCAAAGGTATTAGCACGCAAGTGAATGTAATGGATCTGGCTGGAATTCGAACTCTGTTCTCCTATTCCTCAATCCGAAAATCTAAATGCATTTTTATAGTAAAATCATTTGCATTTTTATCAGTCAGTTATGTGCCATGCTTGATACACGCTGAGGCGATCCTATATCTTTCGATATATGACTGACGAGGCAGATTTTTCCCGCAGTAGGTTGCCATTTCTTTCGGCGGTAGACCAGTTTCAATCCAAGGCTATAGAACCTGGTCTGTCCTGCTATTTACCCATAGCTGGAGGGGGGAGAAGAAGAGGATTCATACCTTTCCCAAGGGTATTAGCACGTAACTGAATTTAATGGATTTGACTGGAATTCGAGCCGTTATCCATTATTCCACCGTGAGGAAGGATAAAAAGACACGCCTTACTAAGAGCTACAAAGAACGAGAAGTTACGGAGCGCCATGATCACCCAAATCACGAAGGGACACGGCACATAGAATATATATATATATATATATATATATATATATATATATATATATATATATATATATATATATATATATATATATATATATATATACACAGAGAGAGAGAGAGAGAGAGAGAGAGAATTGTTGATGCCACCTAGAATATGATGGTCACACTAACGAAAAAATGAAGCTCTCTCATGTTGCTAATAATGATAATAGCTGATAATACCCCTGTAGGAAAAGGCTTACGGCCATATCACGTTGAAAATAACGGTTCCCGTACGATCGTTGAAGTTAAGCAACGACGATAATGGTCAGTACCTAGATGGGTGACTGCTTGTGAATGCCAGGCGCTGTAAACATGGATGTGCGAGTGGTGTAATAGATAATGACTCGGAATTCTTAATCAGAGATCTGAATTTCAATTCCTATTGGGTTCCATATATTCCCTTTCGCCCAAATACCCTTAGAAAAGGTATGAATCCACATCTTCTCCTCCATCTAGGGGTTAATCAGTCAGACTTGTATCACTAAACCGTTATTATATAAAAAAATTACGATCTAAAACATTTTCTGGCTTTAAATAACTTGCAAATGGTTGATAAACCGTAAAAAACGAATCAATTAATAAATACTGATTAGCTATACAGGCAGATCTTATAGATTTAATTACATTCTCTGAAATATTAATGTATAAAAAGTAATATGGACGCAAAGTGAGGGATCAGTTTACATATTAATTGCAATAGAGAATTGATCCCCCATTTTATACCCACATTATTTTTATACCCACATTATCTGATTTCTTGTTTGTTTAGGTATGAATCCACTTTTCTCTCCCCAGCTATCGGTTAATTAGTAAGATTTGTATCACTAAAACGTTATTATCTCAAAAAAAATTTCTACAATCTAAAAATCTTTTCTGGTTCTACATGACCTGAAAAAGGTTGATAAGCCGTAGAAAAGAAAATTAATCTTTAGAAAAAGAAAGCATTTTTAATCGTGTGATAGACAGTAACAAGAGTTGAAACTATTCAATTCTTTAAAAAAAAAATTGTTGCCATATACAACGGCTACCCGTACACGAAAGATACAAAGTAAATAACGAATAGTTTTTTCTAAAGAAGATTAAATATGTCTAATGAACTGAAATTTGAACAACAAACCGTGAGTAAGACATAAGAGGCTGCGAGCCTCCTCAAAACAGACTAAGTCTCCATACTGTAATCGTTTCGTATCATAATCTGTGAACTAAGCGTGAACATTTTAAGGTGTTGTATTGGAAATAATATTTCTCAGATTGTTTTTGTTAAAAACATAACAAGGGATCGCCAGAAGCAAATGAAAAAATTGAATAAAAATTGAGAAGATCGTTTCTAAACATGAAAGCGGAAAAAAATGTTAGCAGAAATGTTAGTGTGGCGTATGGAGAGTCGAAATCAACAATCTGCAACATACTAAAAAATACAAGGGCGATTTAAGAAAATAAGTAAATTTTGTACTTCACGTCGTAATTTATTTTATTTTCTTCCTTTTTTTTTACTAAAAATCCACTAATTCAAGGCCTAAGAGCCTCGTAAAGTAGAGTGAAGTTGCTGTATGGACATAAGAGGAAGAAGAAAGTGCAAATTATAAGGATATGTAGTTGACTCATGACTTGAAAAGGTTAAGATTATCGTGAGTGGGCAAACATTCTCTTGGCTCTGTGCTTCACATAGTTGTTCTCGAAAAGAAGCTTAATGGAACTTCATCCTTACTAATGAAATACGAAAGGAATAAAAAAGATTTGAATCTGTATCTATAGAATACTCGCTCGGCCCGGTGGCTAGGATCAAAGTGTAGTATCTGCGCTTTGTGAGCTGCCGAGTCGGGTGTCTGTCGAACTCTCTGCTTGCAGGGAGGAACCCGGACGAAGCTCCGCCGAAGGGTAGGGTTTCGTTGGGGGAGGTTGACGGAACAGACCCGCCTCGGCGGGTTTGGATGGTTATTTATTTTTGGCTGGGCCTACGGGCTCAGAGATACCCACATTAAAAAGGCCTTGTGCCACATTCGATCCCAGTGGGTGGATTGATAAATACCATCTATAGCATGACGTGTTCTAGCTATAAATCTCTGAACTGATGGAACTAAGGAATGTAACTCGTTTCAACATTTGCCATGGAAATAGCGATATATTAGCAAGAGTCGTCACAGAAAGTGTTTTAAGGTTGAAAATAATTCAAGGCCCGTAAAGCTGCGAAAAATCTTTTGAGCTCTATCATGGCTAGAAAAAGTAGATTTTCAAGCTCCAGCCCAGATATGGTAGTAATGTTCCATTTTTGGTCTGATCGAACTTTTTCTTAAAGATAAAGCACGACTGGTGGAATCGGGTACTTCATGGGGTGGCAAAAAAATTAAATTAAAGTACGCTTAAAATTAAAGAAAGGGAGATGGTTAAGCAGTTCTTTCATGATCACATTGAAAGTGGAAAAGTATTTTCTTGTTTCAATTCTTGCATTTCTTCTTTATATATATTGTCTGTCGTTTTTAATGAAACATGTATAAAGGAAGGATTGCTGCCTAAATATACAAATATATATATATATATATATATATATATATATATATATATATATATATATATATAAAAATTCATATTTCTCTCACTTAAACCGTCTTTAAAACTTCTCTCTGTTAAATTTTAATAACCCCTTCATCTTTAGACCTTCGTGTTCTTCTCTCGTCTGTTACCCCTCCCTATAGCTTTCATTTACTATAACATTCGTCCCACACTCTCACTAACTTTTGTTTTTTTATTCCCGGGGTTGTTTTTTCTGTTTTCTTTTTTGAATTTGTAGGTCTGATGAATTGGATCGTATTTACGATTCCAATGGAATAAATTATGACCATGGAATATTAGTGTTTAAGCCTTTTTTTTTATATCCTTACTCTGTCCTGGACAGTGAGTTCTACCTGGATTCTATCCTCTTGGAATTATTTTTTATACATATATATATGTATGTGTATGTATGTATGTATATATATTTATATAGTTTAGATATATGAAAGTATTTATTTATATTTGATATTTCAGATCGACCTCGAAGAAAGATCGAAGTCGATCTGAAATATCAAATATAAATAAATATTTTCATAAAAAAACTTTATTATTTTTTTAATTTGCAACTTTTTAGTTGTTTTATATATATATATATATATAATAATAATAATATTTTTTGATTAAAAATGTGATTTCTTCGCTACATAATTCTCATGTTTCAAAAATGAGAGCCGAAACCATCCAAATAATTATTAAAATTAAGTTGAATTGTGGTGTTTAGTCCCGTTTCATCTTCAAGCGAAATTTTAGGAATAAGCTATCTTTCGGTTTACGTGTGTTTTTAACCGTGGTCCGTTACAGAATTCGTTATTGTAGGAGTGGCTAGACTATTTTCCTTCGTTAAGTGGTCAGAGAGTTAATTCTTATCAATAGATTCAACATCTTCTGAGAGGTTTTGTTAAGGTTGGGTAGGGTATCTATTTCAAGGCTAATGTTAGCGGTCACCCTTCAGTTGGTTCCCAGTGAGGGATATTTTTATGGCGCGCCTACAAGTCGTTATGTGTCGGGAGGATTGTCTTTTATTATTTTCCATCTGATTATCTATTTATTTATTTGTTTATTTAAGTGGGGGTTTTATATACAAATCGTATTGCACTGAATTTTAGGTTGTTATTTTTGTTTTTTGACGACTACAAAAAGGGTTTTTCCTATTTAATGATTTGGCTAAGCTTTTAAGACTTTTATTTAGTTATGGGATTTTTTTTTTATGCTAATTACTTAATGCGAAAGTTTGTTGATGCCGACAGAAAACCGTTAACTCCTGCCTATGGTTTAATAATTTTTCATTATTTAGGAATTTAATGATGTGTAGTTTTTCCTGTAGGCATATAGGGCATGGGTCATCCCAGGTTTTACAAGTTCTTGTTTTATTTACTATTTTCCATTTTACTTTTGGTGTTTTATTCGTTTCTTTTAGATGCCAGAAATATTGGGATAGAGATGTCTGATTTCTATTTTGAATATTGTTGAAGGAGCTCTTGTGTTGCCTCCATCTAATTTTAAAATTATTCTTCGTTGAGCCTATGTATATCCTATCAGTGTTAGGACTCTCAATGGATGAGATAGTGCACTGGTATACCACGATTTTGTGAGGCATTTATTTTCCAACGGGCAGTTTCTACAATCACATAATTTTTCGTTATTTTTATCTAATTGTAGTTTATGAGTTTTATTACTGCTTTGGTATGTGTGTTTTTCAAGAATTTTCTTATTATGTCTTTTTATGATTCTTTCTATATTTTCAGTGCAGCTGTAACTCAATTTCAAGGTGTTTTTGTTAAAGATGTCGCTGAGTTTGCTATTAGTGGGGAAGTGCTTTTCAATTAAAGCTAGGAACTTATGGCCTAGTTTAGAACTGACCAGTTGGTTGTACGGAGGGGTATACCAGATGATCTTTCTTTTCCTGTTTTTCTTATTATTGGTACTATCGTTTCTATAGGTTATGTCAGCGTTTTTGTATCCGCTATTTTTCAGGGCTGTGTTATAAAAACTACTGTGTTGTCAGAATATTTCCTTATTTGCTGAGTTCATACTTATTCTTTTTCTCTATGTGGGTATATGCTTAATTATAGATGGAGGGTGGTTTGACTTAGGGTGTACATACAGGGGATTAGTATTAGGTCTTCTGTAAGGTAGGTGAACGTTGTTTGTTAAGTCTAGGGTTACGTCCAGGAAGTTTACTCTTTTTAATTTAGTGTTGACTATTGTTTTTAAATTTAGTTTCCAGAATTCTTTATAAATTATCTTTCTAATTTTCTCTGTTTTAAAATTTGTGGAGCTCCTCACTACCATGATCCCGTCATCTCTGTATAGCCCGATGTCCCCAATGTCTAGTTCACGGTGGACGGTTAGATTATACAGTATAAATAGACCGACAAGGTCCGAAGATTCTGCAGAGTCTAGAGATCCCATGGTGATGTCAAAGTTGTCAAAAATACTAAGGAACCCTGGATTATGCACCCAACGTGTTCTTTTCTATTTTCTGCATACCTGCGTACTTACATATACCTATATATATATATATATATATATATATATATATATATATATATATATATATATATATCAAAATCCGTCTTATCGGACAACATTTAAGCTAGCTCCTACGGAGGGCTCTTGAATGAACGCTCAGCTTGTTCAGGAGTTTGATATATGTACGTATGTATGCATGCATGCATGTATGTATGTATGTATGTATGTATAATTGTGTATTTGGGAAGTAATCTATGTTTTATAGAAGTTTCATTAAAAACGACTGTC